GTGATTGTTTGGAGCAAAACTCGAAACAACAAATTTGATTAAATGCACAACCCCCCAACAATGCTGAAAGATATTATTGAACGTACAGCATTCGCTTGTCGACAAACTATTATACACTAATCTACAGCAACGGCCCGCACAAGCAAAGACCATGTGCAACATTTGACTTTGATTTGTGATGATGACCTGGAAGCTGGGGCGATGAGGTGTGACACAATGCTCCGTCCAGTGAGGCATGCATGAAGTGTCATCAAATGATCTCGACAGGACCAAAAGTTAGCACCGGACAAGATTAAGTTTATGGACATACGGACGGAGACTTTACCAAAATACGTCCATCTTCGAAGGGTGCAAGAACAAAATGATGACGAGCGTCTTAAAGTTTTCTGTAACTCGCATAGTTTATTCTCCAAAGCAGTGGTTCCCAACCCTGGTCCTTGAGGAACACCATCCTGCATGTTTTCGTTGTTTTCATGCTTTCTTGCATCTGATTTGAATGAATTTGTTGTCAGCAGGCTTCTGCAGAACTTGAGGAAGTAATTAAATCCCTGAATCAGGTGTGTTGGAGCAGAGAAACAACTAAAACATGCAGGACGGTGTTCCTCAGGGACCAGTACTGGGAACCACCGTGTAAAGTGGAACACTTCTGATCTTCCACCTACCAACACGTCATTGAGATGGTGTAAAGCTTTGTGTTGTAGGAATGCTTCACTTTATTAATTTTAGCTAAAACTCCATACAAAGATTGGTAAATTAATAAAGACATTCATCAAAAAGCAGGTTTTGACACAGATGATCCCTCAACAGCACAATCAGTGTTAAAGTCGCTGTGACGTCACATGGCAGAAGCATTAATTTTCGTCTGAATCATCACATGGCAGTGGCATACATACTGATTTATTGCAAGTAAAAATAAACAGTCGAGCTGAATATGAACTAGCTCAACATGAACAGCTGCAGGTACCTGTGGAGAAAAGAGACGATACACAAACTGCTGAAAAAGCGGAGCACCAGGTGAGTGAAAGAAGTTCTCCAAGTGACGTGTAGACAAAACGGATGGCACAAACACCCCACAGACTAAAACTAAATGATTTAGATTTTGTTTAAAGTAAAAACATTGGTTCAAAGTGTTTTTCACAACGAGGCAAACATGAATAAGGCTTTAGAGTAAAGTCAGTTTTTACTCGTTCTATGTAAATGATCACGAGTTAAGCCCTCCCCCATCGATACAAACAACAACCAAAAACACGAAAAATACATCACGGAGCAGTTTGGACAGAGTGGTTTCATCACTTGTACTTACACGGTCTTAAAACAATTGTTTTTTAAGAGTTCAACTTTTAGTCACGTTTCAAAACGACAAACTTCAAAGTATTTGATTGTTTCAGGTCGTGAACCTCCACCTCGGTTTTCTGCAGCCTTGAACGGTTTATTTTTCCCAGAACTGTCCTGAATTCAGCTCCATCCATCTTCTCATCAGCTCTGAACAGCCTCCCTGTCCCTGCTGAAGCATCCCCACAGCATGATGCTGCCACCTCCGTGTATCAGTAGGGATGGTGTGTTCAGGGTATAGATTCATCTTTTCTTTCACACACAGTTTTGCGTTCAGGTTAAAACAAGTTCAGTACTGGTCTCCTCTGGTTATGTCAAACTACAAACAGGGCTTCTTCTAGTTTTCTTTCAACAACTTCCTTCTTGTCATTCTTCCATGACGGCCACATTTGTGGATCACGACTCATAGTGTGTGTGGACAGATTGTCTCACCTGAGCTGTAGTTTAAATTCTCAACTTTCTTTCTGACCCATGTGGTGTGTGTTCCTTGGTCTTCATGATGCTGTTTTATCATTAGCATTCTGTAACAAACCGAGACCTTCACAGAACAGCTGGATTTATACAGAGATTAAATTACATACGCACCAGTTGGTTGCTCTGGATTCCAGTCGAGGGTATCAGAGTAACGAAGGTGAATATAAAAGTGTACTAGAAGTTTTGAAATCTGTGTATTACCGTCATTTCTGGACTATAAGCTGCTACTTTTTTCACAGGCTTTGAACCCTGCGGTGTATACAATGTTGCAGCTAATTTGTGGATTTTTTGGGGACGGGCTAACAGGCCTCACGCCACCAAAACATTTAGCCTCATCACACCTGGGTGCTCACATAGCTGCCCAATACATGCCTCCCTTGGGAGGGGGGGGGGGGGGGG